TAATGCAATTTTCACATTTATTTATTTGGTTGAGAATTTTGTTTTGGCTGTAAAATGAGGGCATACCTTGTTAAAGATTAGGATTCTTATCAACTATACTTTATTCTAACGCTCTAAAATGTATGCACTTGAATCATCAACCTCAAATGCATACATCCTGATACATTTTTGCTTCCCAAGTATTTTGCTCAGGTGAATTAGTCTAACCTAGATTCACGAACATCCTTTTGACTTCCACACGGTAGTATCCATATCCATTGGGATAATACATTGTGTGAGGGAACAGGACATTGGGTGGTAATGTAAAGGGAGAGCTATGGGAATAGCAGGTACTTGGTGCAGCCCTTTGTTGGCTCTGAAAGCCCTCAGGCACCAAGAGGTGTCAGTTTTATTTAGCGTAAATGTCTGGTTTGGAGAATAGGGTCACCCCTGTAGAAACAGTATGTCTAATCAAGTGTCGGATCAGAGTTTGGAGCAGAGCTTTTTAAGGCTGAAAAAGCCCGGGCATTTAAGATTATAAGCATTGCATTACTTTTGTACTGAAAACTACAGGTCTTGTTTCCCTCTTTCGACTTGTTTGACAGTTTAACAGTTGATAGTGTTCAAGTGTTTTCAGTTCGTTATAGGTACAGATCCCTATCAAACAGGCACGTGCCATTAATCTGGAAAAACATCCTGTTTGACTATAAATGACCTAAGCTTCCTGAATATATTTTAAACTTGCATTTCACCTGTTTGTCCACAAATTTTGAGCTTGTTACATGTCATAGTAGTATGGTTAATTCACTAGTGCTACATCTATTTCAGAATTTTACACGCTGGAGATTCAGTATGAGGAACACAGTCATTAAAACCCTCAAAACCTCAAAAATGTAAGCAGGAAAAGATTGAGTTGCACATTATAACACAGTTGAGCATTTTTGCTGTTTGCTTTTTGTATCTATATGTAATGATCTGAATAAAAAAAATCAGCAGATTGCATTGATTATTGACACATATTGGTCAACTGAAATTGCCAGTTCTCATGCACACACTAGAGCTGTATTATATGGGCAAGATACCATATTCTAGTTATGTTGATACATATTATTATTGCAGTGTGCTTTGTAATATACTGAAAACTAATTGGTGAACTGTGTATGTGACAGGCTTAAAATTGGCCTGCATTATTTTGACAGAGATGGTTTTGTTTTTTGGATCAGGTGAAAGTCTTTATTCATCCAAACACCCAAAAAACATCTGTGATTGGTCAGGATGCACATATTAAAGTATCTAGTGATTTGTTGGAGATTGCAGCCCTCTGTGATATTACTACTGCAAAGGCTGATATTGCGATAACGATTAACAATTTATATATTGTGCAGCCCTAACCTACACACACTTATCCCTCAGGTAAAAGACAGTGCAAAGACCTATTAAGACATGACATCATCAAGAGAGTAGTAGCCTATATGCTCTAACAGTGTTGGCTGTGTGGTGCAGTAAGCGACTGGTGGTGGTGGTCCCCAATGAGACATCATTTCCATCACGCCGCGTCTTCACCAATGAGGACGAGGCCTGGAGGGCCTACCTTGAGAACCCTCTGACTGCAGTCACCAAAGCCATGATGAGCATCAATGGAGATGAGGACAGTGTGGCAGCCCTCGGCCTCCTCTACGACTACTACAAGGTCAGTAGGAAATGCTCTATAAAGAAGCTACTCAAGGCTATGCAAACTCTCTTTGGTGCTTTTGTAATGTGAAGGTCTTGTATTGCATGAGAAAGACAGAAAGAAGCATATGGTTTCAGGATTATTGTAGATTTTAAAGAATATTCCAGCATATTTCAGCCTAATCTCTATCTGATACATCTATAGCGTACATGCAAGTAATTTTGACACATTGCCCTGTACTTAAAGAAAGAAAAGGAAAATCTGTAGACTTGAAACATGTTTAGAATAGAATTAAATGGGCCAAATGACTCAAAATTACTGTCCATGATTACCCATACTCTACAGATGTGGCAGATAGAGATTAGGTTGAAAAATACTGGAATATTCCTTTAATATCTTACGTTTGTGTCTGAGTGTTCCTTTTAGGGATATATGGTAGAGGTTGTGGGCTCCTTATTTAGATTTATGCAGTCCTGTGATGTTACTTGCTTCTGCTTCCCAGGTTCCAAAAGAGAAGCGGCTCTTGCCTGTAGCTAAAGTTCCAGAGGAGGAAAAGAGGTCTGTTGTGCATTACACATCATCAACTGGACACATGCGGTGCTGTGCAAAAGTTTTACGCACATGAGAAAATAATATTTAAAAGTCTTTTTATTTGGACTGTAAGCATTTAATTACTCTAAAAAACAGTAACATTTGAGTGCATGCAAATAATTTTACTGCAGTGAGTAGAGATTTTGTGTATGTTAATGTGTTTAACCATTTCCAAACCTCTCCTGGCAGCCTGCTGTTAATTGTGGTTATCATCTAATTCCTAGTTTGACTTATCAATACTTCATTAAATTAAATCAGGAGTGCTGGTGGGGGTCTTGCACAAATCTATGTGATGGCTGTGTTGAGGTGAGGTTCAGAACCAAACCTTTGTTTTTCTAACCAGCGTACATCATCTGCAAAACTACTGTTTTGAAAACAAGAATTTCAAGTTACTTTTAACTGTATTTATGCTTATTTGTATTATTTTTAATGTCAAATTGTGTTTGTTATTGGAAAATACACACTAACTGGGGCTGTCTAAGCATTGGCCCTAAGCATTGACCCTATCATTGGGAGGCTAAGTTATGTTAAGCTAGTTTGATGCCACAGCCATCTGTGACTGAGAGTCCAAGAAAGCATAATTGACCTTGCTCTCTCTTAGTGGATAGGATGGCCCTCCATCTCCCCCATCACTCAGCATGATGCTAGACAACGTGGGTGTCTGTTAGCTGATGTAACAGAATTATCAGTTAGCGCTCTCCTGCAAGTGCACTCAGTCATGAACCCTCTTGGGCATTTAGGTATTCAAGAGTCTGTTTGAGGTTTTTATTCTTCTTTTTTGATCACTACACTTCTCTGATATGGCTGATGTTAAAAAGCCAATTTTCCTTGTTTATGTTCTGCAGGATATGGCATGGTGGTGTGGAGTCCATGGACGAGCGTGTTCAAGCTACCAAATCTCTCCCAGTCAACCTTTCCCTCAACGCAGACTCCCACAGCACAGAGATGAAGCGAGATTTGTACAGCACACTGCCAGTGGAGGGGGGAGTGGTGGCCACTGTAAAGGCAGAGTATACTCCAGTGTTGTCCACTTCTAGCCACCAGCAAGGGACACATCCCTACCAGCGCCCTCCTTTTCAGCAGTCCGCTTTCGAAGCAAGGGCCATTTCCCACAGCCGTTACATGAAAGATGAGCAGAAGACCGTGCCGGACAGCACCTTTGAAGACTCTTACACTGGAGAGAATGTGGTGAGAGATTATGTGTGCCTAAAATAGCCTAATAAAAGCCTTTAAAATGCTTTATTGAGAAGATGAACTGTGAGCCTTTGAAAATATACTGCTGTTCAAAAATTTGGACAGCATCGCTTGCCACATGAACTTTTTTTATATTTTATATAAAATAGTAAAAAATATACAATGTGGATTTTAATGTTTTAAACTGTTCAGCAAAATGTATTTTACGTGTTTTGTTCAATATTTCAAGAATTTTGTGAACAGGAAGTTCTGATAAATGATAAATAAAATGTTGTAATTATCTATTTACATTATATATTTTTGTCAAGTTTTGTGCCTTGAAATTTGATCTCCACTTTTGAAATATGATGAAGGCTGGATACTAGTTTTACTGTAACAAAGTTCTCAAAGTTCCTCAGTCATTTTAGAGTCTCAGCTCAGTTCACTGTTCTAGACATTCTTAGTTTTATTTACAGCTTCCTCGAGTCCTACTAATTATTTGTAACTTGTTAAGCTGCATCATATTCATATCAATTTCTATTTTTTTCTGCAACAAAATTGGTTTTATATTACTTAAAACATTGATTCCAAATCATACAATTTCCATCTAATCATGTCCAATTCATTGAGAAGGTAGATTTCACATAATTTATGTGTGTAATCTGTGCTTTTAACAGAAATTTAGAGTCCCCACCTCTCTAGTGTCCCAAGACTCCCACTACGAGCAGCCTGCAGTGTGAGTATCCCACTCTGTTGTGTTGTTTTGAATTAAGTCATTTTCATAAAGACAGTCATAAAGGGAATGGAAAGAAAATGTGTCTCTACTTACCACTAAAATCTCTGTTCATGTCCTTGATCTAGAGACACATTTCAGTACAGTATAGAAGCCAGCCGCTCAGCCCGGCATAAGCAGGGCGAGGGGCCGATGATCTATCTGAACAGAGGGCAGTTCTACAGCATCAGTCTGAGTGAGACAGGGGCCAGCAAGGGCCCGCGCCTTCCCATCAGCAAAGTGCGGGTGAGTTCTGCTGCTGTTGACATGGCAACCAACTAAAGCTTCTGCAATCTGTACTTGGCGTTTAATGAACAGTGAGGCAGGAAATGCAACAGCTGGCATTCTGATTGTGGACTGTGATAAAGGAGCGATTGATGAGCAGAGAGAGGAAGCACATTTAGCTTTGCTCTTTGGGGTTGCTGTTCCCATTTCATGAAAGTTCCTAATAGACATCATTATTATATAGACTGTTTAAAGTGATGAGATTTAATGTGATGTTCCTCATGGTGCTACTATATTGTTTTTGGTACATTATGCAGCCCTGATCATCTTTCTGTCTCGCAGAGTGTGGTGATGGTGGTATTTGGAGAGGACAAATGTCGGGATGAGCAGCTGAAGCATTGGAACTACTGGCACACCCGTCAGCACACTGCTAAACAGAGAGTGCTGGACATTGGTAAGCAATTATACAGTCATATGCAAAGATTTGGGTGCCCCCTGATCAAATTACTTGCTTTGTTGTTTTTGTTTGAAAATAAATTAATACATCCTTTACAGAGAAGACACTGCTGCACATTTTAATGCACAATTACTGTTTGTTTGCTGAATTTAACATATTGGGGAAAAAAAAACATGAAATGTGGCACATATAAAAGCTATGGCGCATTTAATGTTATGTTTTTTTTCCAATATGTTGAACTCAGCAGATAAATAGAAATTGTTGCTGTCCAAAAAACATGTATAGTAACTCTGCAGGAGAAAGCAAAAACATTCTTTACTGTTAATGTAAGTCAATCTAAAGAGATTTTATTCCAATGAATTCTGGTACATTTCTATTGGTGTATTCATCATGAAGTTTTCAAACAATATAAGGACAGCTGATGTGTTCAAATGATGTAGGAGAATAAAAATCTGAAAAATTTGAGATGCATTTTTGGTTGATGTCATCACTGTAATATCAAATTTAATTTTTTTGCAGCATGACAGTCATTTACATTTACAGTTTACAATGTCTGTACTAATAGAAATTGAGCTGGAATAAAAGCTTATTATAATTAACATATTTTAAAGTTAAAATGTGTTTTTATTTTTCTGTGATGTTATTTGAGGTTATAGTAGTGAATGTTTTAAAACTCACTCTTCTGTGTGTCTGTGTGCTTTCAATCTCTGTTTCTAACTACTTGGGGTATCATTCAAGGGTAATCCCCCCATTTTTCCCTCAACCAATGTGTGCATGTATATATGTGTGTGCTTTATTTTTAAACTCCAGCCCTTCATTCAGTGGCCTTCTGCCTCCCCTTCATATTGTATCCTGTTAAATGCAACACTAGTAGACGGCTTAGGGCGGTGAAATCTGTCACCTTTACTTGCAGATGGGAAATGGGTAGACAATAGCAATAGGGTCAGGCCTGAGATGAGGAGGGGGGGTGGCTGACATCTGGAGACCACTGTAGTGGTCTCATCAATAGCAGGTGGCAGACCTAAAAGATGTAGTAAAGGGCTTTTTTGGAGGGCTTGGAACCTGATATGCCTTAAATGTTTGATTTGAATAACAGTATCGAGGGATTTTTCCATAGTGCCCCAGGCTACAGATCAGGATTTGAATAGATATGTTAACGGTTGCAGGCAGAAGTGCTCATAAATAGAAACAGTCTCAGGGAATGAAGCTCTTGTGAATAGCTTCCAGGGTAAACATCCACCATATGTTTGTTATGTAATGTTTTCTCTTCTAATCAGACACTTTTATTTCAGTTGCTTTTGTTGACTTTTTTCATACTGCAGTGATTGAGTCGATAAGACTCAAAATGAATGAAACATTTTCTTTAGTGGTCATGATTTATGGTGCAAATCCAGTTCTAAAAAAGTTGAGGCAGTTCAAAGACAAATTTCCAACAGTTTTAGAGCAGCTCAGTGAGTGATTGCTGTGATTTTTGGTATCTCTACTGTGCATCTCAGAAGTAAGACAGTTTTTAATGCAGTTCTGTTTGGGGGGTTAAAGGTCACAGGAATTCATTTGTGGTTTCCTTGTCCTTTACGCACAGAGGTTTGTCTAGATTCCCTGAATTTTTTTATTTTATTATGGATATCGGCACGTGGGCTTGAGAATATTTAGAATAAACACTCTTCGTGGCTGCCTCCACAAATATTAGTTAAGTTTTACTATGCACAGTGGAAGCCATATGTCAACAACATCCAGAAACACTGCCAACTTCTCTGGGCTCAGGCTCATCTGAAATGTTGCACAGTGGAAATGTGTATTGTGGTCTGAAGAGACTGTTTGTTTGTTTGTTTGTTTGTTTGTTTGTTTATGAAAATAATGGATGTCATGTTCTCTGAGCCAAAGAAGAGAAGGACCTTCCAGATTGTTACCAATGTAAAGTTTAAAAGCCAGGGTCTGTCATGGTATGGGGGGATATTACAGGGTAACATGCACATCTGTGAAAGCTATTAATAGTAGTTTGTTAGGTAAAACATGTAACATTTTCAGTTTAATACAGGTTAACCAGTATTTACTCATCACTGCTTTTACATACTGTGCCATTTTTTAATTGTGTTTGTAAATTATGTGAATTGTTCATAAAAGTGAATGTATTCACTTATTATTGTTCACTAAAGGCATAATTTTAGTGACTATATGATAAAATCTAATGGATTTGTTGATTTCTTTGTTTGTTACTGATCTCACCTCTGATCTACTCCTTTGTATCCAGCTGATTACAAAGAGAGTTTCAACACCATTGGGAATCTTGAGGAAATTGCCTACAATGCTGTTTCTTTCACCTGGGACATTAACGAGGAGGCTAAGGCAAGAGTGCTGAATTGTTTTCATTTTCAAAGTGAAACTGTTAATTAAAGGGTGTTTTTAAACAGACAAATGCACGTTCACATTTAATTCTTTTACGTTTTTGGTTGCCAGATATGTAGCATCTGTTAAACATAGACAAGGTGCATGGAGGATTTTTAAACAGCCCCTAGTAATAAGCAACAAAGCCCTTAGTATTAAAATTTCTGATTTATGACCCCAACTACTTTAAAAGACTGCCATATAGTGAATCCCTTTTCATGCAGGTTTATTCTGGTATCCAGTTATCAGCACTGAAGGCTGTAATATGGAATCGTAGCGCATTGGCTTTGTGAAATCTCATTCAGACATGCTAAAAGCATCACAGAAAAGATGCACTGATTACTGATGCCTGTTGTTTTAAGCATGTTTTACGTTTATTAACCGATGCCTGTTGGAAGTGATCATGTGACCATGAGAAAAGAAGTGGTTCTCACAATATTGCACCATAAGCCTTCTTGTTAAACAAAAGCTACAGGCACAGACATGAAGGCAGAGAAGCCTGTCAGTGGGAAAGTATTTTCCCTTCAGGCAAAAAGATTTCCCATATTTCATCTTTCAAAAGCAGTTTTTCCAGTGTCTCCTGAAAGATTGGCATAAGGTAATTTACAGTTGGTGCATTTCAAACAAATGCCGTTTAGCTTATTTGAATAAACTGCTAGCTCCAGCAGAAATGTAGATCATTAAGCAGAAGGCATGTGCTTTCAATTGAACCATCCAGAACTGATGTAGGTTCTAGGCTGAAGGTCTCAGTTTCTAAACTCTGGTATTGTGATTACTTGAGAGTAATGCATGTTAGCTAAATAACATCTTGAAAGGATTCATTGTCTTCCTGGTTCCTGTTGTTCAGTGTACTAGACAGCTGGACAAATGACTGGAGAAGTCAGATTATATTTAATTAAATTCTTAACTGATCATTTGTGACAGAACTATATTAGACTACTAGTTTGTCAGGAATTTACTGAGGTGCTATGGTACATTGGTATGTTCTTCTTCATAGATCATCAACAGCACACAGTAACGGTATAATAGTAATGTTAAGGCCAATTTAGTAATGTCACAACTCTTAATCTGTCCCTGATTTAGAATGAAAATTGTTGTGCATGCAGACAATGAGTAATATACTTCCCAATTAAATGATCCTAAGACTGTTATATTTTTTACCCTATTGGTTCTAGAATAATTCTTACTGAATAATTCCGTTCTATGTGTTTTTTTTTTTTTTTTTTTCCACTTGTTTGTTACACAAAAAATAGTGACAAAACCCTTCTCCACTCTTCTTGAGCACAGTAAACAAGTAAATAAGATACAGGCATGACCTGTCAAAGAACGATTTTTGTAAATGAGATGAGCAAGTGTGAAGAACCTTTGGCAAAATTCAGAGAACCTCCCAGTAGTGTAAAGTTTGTATACCCTTTGAAAGTTTTCAGAAGAAATCTCTTCAGCAACTCTTTTTCATAGGATGTAATGAGATGATTGTTATAAACGAGGCAGAAAAAAAGCAGAACAAAAAAAATTGGTAAGAATGCATGTTCTCGTGTTCTTTTTCCTTCTTGTAGGTGTTTATCACAGTGAACTGTCTGAGCACAGACTTCTCCTCTCAGAAAGGAGTGAAAGGGCTTCCGCTGATGATTCAGATTGACACTTACAGCTACAGTAACAGAAGCAACAGGCCCATTCACAGAGCCTACTGCCAAATTAAGGTCTTCTGTGACAAGGTTGGCACAAATGATACTCTATCAGTGTACAGTATATAACATTAACAACTGACACCATACAATATATCTAATATGTGGTTTGTTCACCAACGACTAGGATGGCGCTTCTTAGCAGCTAGTCATACATCTGTGCATTATTATGCAAAATAGTCATCACTTTGATTTATTTATTGTGAGATGTTATTCCATCATGCTCCTTTTACGCCACAGGGAGCTGAGAGGAAGATCCGGGATGAGGAGAGAAAGCAAATTCGGAAGAAGACGAAAGGTCATACACCTGGAGGACAGGGTCATAGTGGTGAGTCAGGGGTTTCCATATATGATATGTGGGTCCAGTTTGAATGTCTTACTTAATGTATTGTAATGAGCAGCATGTGTTCCGTCCCCTTGCTCACTCACTAACCCTGCACAAAATTAAAACACCAAACCTAGCCTAGATACACAGAGGTGTATAATTCTCGTTGAATTAGTACATAATATTTGTAGTGAAACACTAGGACTGCACAACGCCTCATTTGTAACAGTATCACAGTCTTTGTGCATTGCTTGTACTGTAAAAATTAACAGAACTCTGCTGTGTGAGTGAGTACACAGGTGAATATTCTTTAAGCATTCAAACATTTTCACAAATGTGCACATTTGTCAGAAAAATCCAGCTTTATCTTTGTCTGTGTCACATGGAAACATCACCTGGTCCCAAGTTTAATTTTAATGTCAGCTAGGCTTGGGTGATAATGATTTGTCAAAATATACCTTATTGTCTGCAGAAATCACAATAAACAATATTATCACAATTCAGATTCCCTCATGAAGTACCACAAATGAGCATTACAGTTCCTTTGCCTACAGTTTACATTTTCCCTAGTGGTAATCTAATTACTGTATCTTCTAACATAGCTTCTAATGTTACTTAATCATTTCTAATGATAACTATAATCTACACAGTCAGTGTGTAGGACTGTTAACATTCTGCGGTTCTCCATGTTTGTTTCGGAAACCAAAAATACTCCCAAACTGGCGTTTTGGCATCCTTCTTCTGGCCAACTCATCCTAGTGGAGAGTAGATCCTATGTTCCAAAGTTTCGTTTTTTTCATTTGCTTGTACCTTAGTGTACTTCCTGATGGCATTCAAAGTACGTATGTATGTAGTTACTTAGTTGACGGTATTCTGTTTCTGTAGGCTACGATTAGGTGCAGTCTTTTTTTCTATTGTATAAATGTTCAAATTTAGATTATTTGTACAAAGGGAATGGTTAAATAAAGATGAAGCAAAAATTAAGTGGTATGTGAAACAGAATAGAAGAATGACCATTTGCCTCCTATTGGCACTTAAATTATCACAATAAATAATAATATTACATATCAGCCCTAGGCTAATATCAACATCACATAGTATTAGTATGGCATTTTGACAGTCGTGGTGAATCGCAAAGGTGTCCTGGTCTTAAAGCTGCTTATGTTTTCTCAGACTTGGCAGGTAAAGCAGGAGGGCATGGAGCGTTAATGCAGAAAAAGCCAGATATCACGTTTTTCAAATCCATGATGGATCTGGAGTCTCAGCCTGTGCTTTTCATCCCAGATGTCCATTTTAGTAACCTGCAGAGAGCTGCACAGGTATGCTCTGCTTAATGTCTCTGCTATGATGTTGGTTACCTTCACTGGAGAGAGATAAATTAAGTCTGGTTGCTGTACATCATTGCTGTACATGTTCATAATCATCAGGCAGTTACACTGTGTTATATACTGAGATGGCCATAACACAGGACCTGCCATAGTATAATAAGAGCATGCTTTTCTGCCTTTGACTGTCTGTCTGCAGATGTTTGGCTTTGGTACTGAAGAAATGGACAACGATGTGTAAGTGGTGTTGTATTACTTTTAAAGGTGTGCTGTGTGTTGTTTAATGAGTGTCTCGTTGGTTTATGCAGTAATACAGGTAAAATATATTGTTTCTCAATGCTGGCAGTGGCTAGGTATTTGTAGCAAAATAACAGCTCAGCCAGAAAACCTTTGAAACGACACCAGGAGCTGCAGTGACTGGTGCTGTTCTGATGTAGTATTTTCAAGCGTTTATGAGCTTTTTACATGATATTTTCAACTTTGAATGTTAGATCATTTTATTATTGAAAAAATGTGTTTTAGTATTAAAATTCATAGTTAAGTGCTAAATGGGTTTTATTTTAATATCATCAAAATTGACTGCAATGATTTGACTGTCACAGCAGCATGATGATGAAGAGGCCCTTTAGACAGACAGAAGATGACCTCTGCCCTTCACCAGCCAAACAGAGCAAAGGAGTCACGCCAAGGAGAGGTGTGTCTGTGTGCATGTGTTGGAAGGAGAGATTGGGTGCTTTTTGCAAACTGTGACTGCACAGGAAATGTATTATATTGGCTTGATACATCTAATATTTTTCAGTATGACACTGCTGTAGGAACAAGCTAATATGTCTGCCAATAGAATAAGACAATTTATCCAGATAATATATATTGTAAGTTAAATAACCTTATAATAGTCTCACATCAACATCATTCTGAAAAATGATTTGTCATTATATAATCTATATGTAAGATGTTTTCACTTGCAAAGATATCATTCTTCTGCAGCGAGAATGTGTGCTTGAGATATTTGGAGTGTTACTCTTATTGCATTTCATTCCTTGAAAGGGATTCTCGCTCTACATTTCCTATAACCTGTGACCATGACCATTTCTTAACAGTTCTGCTGTATGTAAGGAAGGAAGCTGATGAGGTTTTTGATGCATTAATGCTGAAGTCTCCAACAGTGAAAAGCTTGGTTGAGGCTGTAAGTACAAACTTTGCTTCTTGCAGCAAATAAACATTACAATTTGGTGTGAAGTGCACAGAATTACAGATTTACACTGTTTCTTTTTAGATATCGGGCAAATACTTGCTTCAAGCAGAGAAGATAACTAAAATCTACAAGAAAAGTAAAAAAGGGTGAGTAACTATTCATCATAAGAAAACTATAATTGGATGTGATGCAGCTATTTCTTTTAACAACCCAACTGATTCAATCCATTTGTCTTATCTGTTTAAAAGGTGCGTTTCAGCTGGTTCCTCATAAGCAGTATCCCAATTAACGAAATTACATGTGTTTTGGCAGTTGTACATTTGTATGATTGTCCTCTGCTATCGTAGTAAAAAAAATTTCAAATACAGTAGTGGACAGTTATTGCTCCCACACTGCATGTGGTATAGGGGCTTTTCTTATATTTGGGGACATCAGTCAGTTAATTGGTTAAAAGACATCAAGGCATAATTTTGACAGATAATTTTTAAACTGATTTTTTTAAAAATGGTCTTGTTTATATCTCTCTTTTGCTCTCTCTCTCTTGCTCTCTTTCTTGCTCTCATTTGGCCTTCAGGATTCTTGTCAACGTGGATGATAACATCATTGAGCACTACTCCAATGAAGACGCCTTCATACTAAACATTGACGCTCAGGCAGAAGGCTTCCAGGTTACACTCACTGAGATATAGTGACTGTGTTCTGAGGACTTTATCAGCGCATTCATGGACATTGTTATACCTGCATTCTCCTAAATCCAGTCCCAGTTTTCTCAGCACACTTCCAATCAGTGGAAGAATAAATCAAAGTTCAGGTTTTGGAGTCATCTCTATCGAAATGGACCTCCTCTGAAATTGTAGGGTCTAGGGGTCTACACATTCAGCCTTGCAGCAGATTCTCCAGACAGAGTATTGCAGTAATAGACTAGCCCCTAAGTACACTAGTGTGAGAAACACTGCTATACTTTTGGTATTCTGGCTCCCCCTCCTGGCTAATAGTGGAACAGTGAGAACAAGGTTTGTAGCTAACATGTAGTATTACATTCAGTGACATTATAAGTTTGTTTTTATTTACTCCACTCTTCAACTTTTAAATGCTGCTCACAAAATGAACCAAAAGGGAAAACTTCCAGCTTTTTGAAAGGTATGCTTTGTCATAGAATATGAACTGAGAGGACATACATTTGAACAGAAAAGTTTTTTTTCTTTACAGTATATTACATTAGAGGTTATACATTATTAGTGTATAGCTTTTGTGACTGTTACATGTACATATTTAATGATTTTTTTTAGAATTATTTTCCAGAACATGTATGTATATATATGTATCTTTTTTATGAATTTAATAAACAACTATGCATATTCTAATGTATTTTCCTCTTTAAATATCACACATACAAATACAGATATACAGTATATACTCATACTGCCCTTGAGGCATGTTTCTCATGATGATAGACAAATACATTTTTCCCATGTATATATTTTTACTGTATTTGGTTTTATCCCAGTCAAACACTCAAATGTTCCATCAAATAGTAAAATGGGTTATTTATTAGGCCTTGCTGCCCTAATGAGTACACAGCCGTAATGTAAACATGCACTAATCAATTTTAGTTACACATTAGGTTTAGTAACGTGACGTGTAGTCTCCTAGCGAAGTGGAACTTGTATCTGCACTAAAGAAGAAAGTTTGAAAAGTTTGGTTTGGTTTTTTCATTTCTACAAATGTCATAATGTTCACTCTCTGGTAGGTAGAATCTTTTGTTTGTATTTTATTTGCAGAGAAAATGTTTTGGTTTGACTTCATGTATCAGTTCTTTATACCAGTATCGTTAACACATGTAGCTTCTGTTGGCTTCTGGAACACAGATTAAACATACTCCTGGAATAATTTCAGCATTAATAGTAATTTTGTGCTGGAAGATGTTTTAAAATTCAGGGCTGTTGGCTCAGTCTGTGCGTGAAGACACATTCAAATTATGGGTTCAAAGTGTGGGCAGATATCTTTGCGCTACATTTGTTACATTTCAGCGTGGTCTTATTTATCATTCTCTGAAGTGTTTTATAATGTACTTTAGCTGTTAACTCACTGTTACATTTTTCAATTATGTCTATAAATGTGACTTAGAAAATATTCATTGCTTGTTTTTCTTAACCCGAGTTACCACAGCCTGTGTCTGCTGCTGTTGCTGCCTCTGGTATGTTCTCAGCTACTACGCTGGGTACACTCCCCCGATTATCCCCTAGCATACCCAAACCACCTCAGCATGAACTGGTCTGAGTGTGCTCCAGTGGGGCTTTCAGTGTCTCTGACCCTCATTCATCTGGACCTGGAGAACAGCACACTGTGTGAACATGATGCTCTCATGGTCAGTCACTTTGTGTGTGTGTGTGTGTGGTGGGGGTTAGGTTGATATGTTCTCCTTGTGCTACTCATTCTATCATGTTAAGCACATGTTAATAATATTTTTTTACTTGCCTGTTGACACAGCATTTGTCGTCTTTCCTCAGATCTTCATTGACAGGCATCTAAACATGTCTCTTTGTGGCAGTATGTCATTTAAGGAGCTGCAGTCTTCTGTCAATCCCCATTTACGCTCCACATCTGGAGGCTGTTTGTCCATCCAGTTCCGTTCAGATGTGTCTCTCCCACAGGTCCACGCTGGCTTCAATGCCCTCTACCAAACAAGAGGTAAAACAAAGAAGGAATCAATGAGCACTCAGGTATTTAATAAAGTAGACTGGTGTACAACCTTAAAAATATGGTTCTTCAAGGGTTCTTTATTAAAGAAAATGGGGTAACACTTTATTTTAAGGTCTGCTTCTTAATGGTTAATTGTCTATTAGCAAGCAATTAACAATATCTTAGTAAATGGAAACATACATGTTGTAAACAAGCTTAAAAATGTGTTTTAAATGTATTTATATGATCTATTATTAAGGTCTTCTGTAAAGTGGTTATTAACTATTTGTTGACTAATCAGTTAAATATTAATTGATTTTAATCTTTCATTTGCAAGTATACTTTAAATGTCTATGTGACATGTTAATCATGGAATATAAACAAGTAACTGTTTGAATACACAATCGCCAAATATGTGGTAGTATGTGTTAGTAAATGGTCAAGAGATCACTAGATTGGTGCTGTGTGTTGCTATAGTTAGTGGCTGTAGAGTGTATCCCCACAAGTTATGGTTGGCATCACAAGGCCTCTCTGGGTCTCACTGGGCTCTAATGTATGTGCACTGGTTCCACCATGGTAGTTCACGCCAGAGTAGACATTACCTGTAGTTGAGTCCAGTCAAAAACTGGCAATTAAACTGACCATCATGACAATTCCTATATTTTATGTATATTTACATTTAAAAGCTAGTCAAGTGAGCCAAAGACTGAAAAGTACCTGAAAAAGTCATTAATAAGTTTTTAACAAAATGAAACACAAGCCCACTAACCCACCTGGTATTTCAACATTTATTCACGGTTGAATCAACGTTGGATTTTGTTTTGATTTTGAAAAGTGAAGCAATGTTGATATTGCGATGTTCTTTCAATATCTTAACTTTCAACATTGAAACTCCCAGAGAGCAAAAATCAGTTGGGCCACATCTAGGCCGAACACTGCACGCCGAGCTTGAAAGGCATCGGCCGAGACTTCAGTTTGAATCCAGGCCCAATTCTGGTTCAAATGCTCGGCTCACACCTAGTTACGCCATGATATTAACACTCCCCTGCCCAGCCAGCAAAATATACTCACTATTCACTTCCAGATACTTTATGCATAAGTCTGAATCTCTATTTATTAACTACATGTACCTGAATCAAAAGCATAGCATTTGCTCAGATGTAGCCTAACATTCACCTTTATTTAGATACAGCATAACAGAGAAAGCAAACAATCATAAAAAGAAAACCAACTGACCCAATCTCTAATGAAGACTACAGTATAGTTGAACACTGCTGATTAATCAATAGTCTGCCACAGTTTTAATGTGCATTTTCATGTCTTCAGCCAGTATGTACCGTATCATGCCTTGTAAAGTCAGCAATTCTTAAAGCTCACCCGTTTTCACCTATATGCATGCATGAATTTTAATGACAACACTAGAAATCATTTGGAAACAATTGCTTTAATTGTCTTACATAAATATATGGCACTTGCCTACAACACAGACCAAATGGGTGGAATAGTCATTACATATGCAAATAAACAGTTACCATATAGCAATAAATAGATGTTAAAAATACAAACTAAACTGAAATGTGCAGTACACCACTGTGCTTTGTTGTGTGTGTGTGTGTGTGTGTGAAATGAACTTTGATATATACAATAAACATTGATATGTATGGAATGAACTTTGATATGTAAACAATGAACATTGATATATATTCAATGAACATTGATATATATGGAATGAAATTTGATATATATACAATGAACTTTGACATGGCTGATATATGATGTGAAGACACAGCTTCAATATATACATAATTTGACATGGTGCAGAAGAAGAGTCAGATGAGGCCATAATTTGGCCACAAGTTTGAAAAATGCTCTTTTATGGAGAGCAAGGGAAAACAATGCCACTTGAAAAGCAACTGAAAATTGAGGTAGGTCACTCCTAGCTAACCTACTCTTTCTTCTGATGGTCACCAAACACAAACACACTCTCACTAACTCTGAGCTAGACACAAAATAACAACAACATAGCAACATTAAATAACAATGTAAACAGTCTGTTTGGGGCTGCAAGGCTTCAACACACACAACCCCAAAAGTCCCTCTCTGTCTAAACAAAACATTTTATAAATTATATTATTCATTTTTTCATCTCAATCTTCGATCCATGTATATCAAGGTTCATTCAATATATATCAAAGTTCATTGTATATATATCAATGTTCATTCAATATATATCAATGTTCATTCCATATATATCAATGTTCATTCAATATATCAATGTTCATTCCATATATATCAATCTTTGTTTTACTGAGATATATTGAATGAATGTTGATATATATGGAATGAACACTGATATATATTGAATAAAAATTTATATGAATAATTCATGAAATGTTTTGTCTAGACAGAGAGGGACTTTTGGGATTGTGTGTGTTGTAGCCTTGCACTTAAAATGAAGACAAAAGTAAGCAAAATGAATAACACCCTCACCAGATAAATGACAGTTGGACTATGAATGTTTTTATACTACAGCTTTTGCAAACTAAAGAAAAAAAAAAACAAAGCAAGCCATGGTTGTAAATACTTAATAATTTGTTGAGAATACCAAACATAATGAATTCATAAAACATGTCAAATGTATTATTCTATTATATTTATACAAAACACTGTAAAATGAGCTTGAATTTAGTTTCATCAGCACTCTCACTGCAAAGCACTCTGTGGTAGACATGCGCTTTGTACTGTATCTGCTACACATCGCAGTGTCTGATGTGCAGTAGACTTTAGAAGCTGACGAGAAGAAATAGCAAGCAGGTTTAATAGCCGTCTTTTTCTCAGTTTCTCTGCAGCTGGAGATGTGCTTGAGCTTTAACCTTAACCCATCTTAAACCAGAGCCATGTAACTTGGTACACTAGATTGGATGCTTACTTTAAGAATTTGTGCTGAGTAAGTTTACAGTTTATCCAGAGTAATCTAATGTTAAAATAAAAACCTAAGGCGGCCACTGTTCCCAATCGATTGTTTACCAGAAGGGATTATGTCATGCATTGCTTTGATAGAGAAAAATGGGGTTTTATTATGGCTTTATTCTACTTGGTTTTCAAGCTGAAAGATTTTACTCTGTAAAAATATAAGGGGAACCCAAAGACTGTGTTGGGAAACACTGGACTAGGAACTGTTATGACTCCACATGTGACAGTTCTCTAGAAATAGAGGTGTCTTAATGTGGTTTGTCTGCCCCTGCTGTTCTTCCTGAGTACATTTCCTTTACTCCTGCTAGATGTTGATGAATGTGCAAGTCAGAATCATCAATGCAGTCATTTCTGCTATAACTTTATCGGAGGGTTCCGCTGCAGCTGTCCACATGGATATCTCCTTAAGCCCGACAACCACACTTGTGATGGTAAAAGAACACTGTCACTGAGTATTCAGTGTTAATTAATAATTAATATATTAATAAGATGAGTGACTAACCTGAAAGAATGTGATTCTGTAAAAATGAATTAATACTGTTTCAGATTTACACAGATGATTTTAACCAGTTTTAATCAACACATATTAAAATATTTTATGAAGTAAACCTACTAATAAAATCATGCAGATATTTTGAACAAGGATCAAATATTGCAGCTTTTTTCTTCCTTTTCATTCTAGCTATTGTCTGTGAGGAGCCTAAGCCTTTCCGGAATGGACATGTGCAATTTATTAAGGGCTCTAATAATGAATACTTATCAGTCTTTAAGTACCGCTGCAATGAACCATTCTACACTTCCAATGAAATTCAGAATGGTAAGAAACACTGGTTACGTAATGTCAGTCAATGGGTTCAACTTATTGTCTCAGTCAACTTGTGTCAGAGCACACACTTATCTGTTTTATCTTCAATCATCCCTGTTTTAGGGAGTTACACATGTGGCGCTGACCAACAATGGAGGGAAAATGGCACCAGCATCATTCCGTCATGCCTTCCAGGTAGAGTGACAGCAAAAACATAGGTTTTATTTGAGCTTTGTAGATAATTTATGGAATTTATATTATAAAACTGTGTTTGTGTGTGTGTTTTAGTATGTGGTCACCACAAACTACATGGTATTGGTAGAATACTTGGAGGGAAGAAGGCTCGTCCTGGTACTTTCCCCTGGCAGGTCCTTCTCCGTCCCTCAGGACATAAAGCAGGAGCGTTCATCATTGGGGAAAAATGGATAATGACTGCAGCCCACAATCTGATGTTTGACACACAACTTTCTCCAGAAAATGTTAAGGTACTCTAAGATGCCATTTACTGTGTGTGTCAGGACCCATGTCAGTATATAAAAGAATTTTAAATGCCTATAATATGTTCTTTGCACAGTAATCTTTGTTTACATGATGCTGTAGATAAACATATGGTTCACTAAACAACTTTTCTGTGGAATATTCTGTAGAGAACCGTTCTTGTAAATGAAATTTGTGAGTGTGAAGAATTAAGTTTTAAAGAAACTCTGCATCATGTAAATGTTCTAAGAAGAACCTTTAAATTGGTATGGAACCTTTACACTTTTACAACATTCTTTACACTCTCACATCTCTTTTTCAAACATGATTCTTTACAGAACAACAAGTCTTCTATAGCATCACTCAAAGAACTTTTTAGGCCTCCTTTTACATAGTACATAGACATTTGGCCTGCTTTTGTCTGACTAATGACTGTAAAATGCTCCAGACTTATTGATCATCTGCCTAAACAACCAATGTATAATATACATGATATCATACTTATATATAAGTTTAAAATTTGAGTCCTTTAGCATTATGTGAATTTCTACATAATTGTGACCTACAATGTGATCACATCTTCTTTTAAGTCATAGCAATAGATAAAGGAAAACTGATAAAACAAAGAAACGACACAAATAATTGTATAGTTTTTCATTCGTTAACAAAGTGATCCAACATTAAATGTCTTTGTCGGCGAAGGTATCTGAACCTCTGCTTTCAGTAACTTGTGAAACCCTTGAGGACCAATAACTGCAATCAAATTGTTTCTGTTACTGTTGATCAGCCCTGCACATTGACACGGTGAGATCGTGGCCCGTTCTTGTTGTTTTGCTTTCTTACATGAGCACCACATCTTAGGTCCTGCCATAATATTGCTATTGAATATGCATTCCAATATGCAACATATCTTCTGCATACTCCATAAACTACCTAATGTTTTTTTGGTTGTTGTCTTTCTGCAGGACTCACCTACTGTTGAGTTTAAGTTCATGGACAGATGTCCTGACATTATGCTGTAGAATTATTTGATACAATTTATAATTCATAGCTTCACCAAATGATGGCAAGTTGTCCTGGTCCAATTGAAACAAAACAGCTTCAAAACCATGATACTGCCACCACCGTGTTTCAAAGCTGAATTGAGAGGCTGAGCTGCAGTGTTTAGTTTTGCCAAGCATAACATTTTCATGCCATAAAGGTCTGTTTTTTCCACGTAACATTATTTCAGTTGTCTTCTAGCTCATCCAGGTGGACTTTAAACAGGTAGCAATGTTCTTCCTGGGGAGTAGTGGCTTTCTCCAATCCATCATTCTATATATACTATTCTTGGTCAATATTTACCTGATTGTAGACTCATGAACACTGACATTAGCTTGTGTAAGAGAGGCCTGAAGATCCTTGGATGTTACAGTGGGGTTCTTTGTGATCATTAAATACACCTTGCTCTTTGAGTCATTTTTGAGACCACTCCTGGGAAAGATAACAGTGATGTTGAATTTCCTTCATGTGTTCATCTGCCTGACAGTGGATCAGTGAAGTGCAACCTCATCAGAAATAGTCTTCCAATCTTCTGAGAAATCTAGGAAAACTCCTCTGACTGAGATCTAACATGCACTAACAAATGTGTGTGGTAAAGACTTTGACGGTGAAGACTCTAGCTGATGTTTTTTAAATAGAGTAGGGTCATACGCACTTATATATGATTATCATCTAATTGATAGAAACTCCTGTCTCACTTACACCAAACTGATAGTTCTAGAGGTTCATGTACTTTTGACAACAAAAGCATTATTGAATGAAAAAACTTTCTCACTCTGTATGTATGTGTATATATACACTGATCAGGCATAACATTGTGAGCACCTCCTTGTTTCTACGCTCATTGTCCATTTTATCAGCTCTATTTACTATATAGGTGCACTTTGTAGTTCTACAATTACAGACTGTGGTCCATCTGTTTCTCTGCATACTTTGTTAGCCCCCTTTTACCCTGTTCTTTAGTGGTCAGGACCCCCATGGACCCTTACAGAGCAGGTACTATTTGGGTGGTGGATCATTTTCAGCACTGCAGTAACACTGATGTGGTGGTGGTGTGTTAGTGTGTGTTGCGCTGGTACAAGTGGATCAGACACAGCAGTGCTGCTTATATATATAAAATGATGTTTTTCAGTTTTTGACATAATTTGAAAACACCTGTTGCCTTTTACATTGTATGTAAAATTCATGACGAATGGACCAAAAGAAACAACCCAAAATGACTTGGAAAAACTTTAAAAATTAAAAGTAAAGGAGGTTTTTCTTTTTCCTATAAAGTTACCATTTTGGACAAAAAGGATACAATTATTTGTAGGCTTTACACATTTTACACACAAACAATGTAAATAGACATGGTGTGCAGTACTTTTTTTATTTCTTTCTTTCTCTCTAAAATCCAGGTCTCTTGTTGGGTTTCTTGAAATCTGAAAAATTTAATCAGGCCTAGGACCTTGGAGTATGCTGTATACATGATGGATTAAAACACACTCAGTGGTAACTGTGCAGGCATATGTTGGACATAATAAAGTAAAAGAAAAGGAAAAGTTTATTGCTCTCAACATATCATCAATATATGTCCATCCACATTACAACAACACTGATGATACAAATTATGACAATGACATTGCTCTGATTAAGCTCAACACACCAATCACATTCAGTGACACAGTAAGGCCACTCTGTCTGCCTCCAGAAGGAGCTGAAATGGAGGTCAAGCCTGGGTGAGCACTTTTTATCCACATACAAAATGTTGATTGAAGTTATTATATGTTTAATTATGCCAGTGACTGACACACCAAGTGCAGCTCTAGATGCACATTGTTGAGCACTGAGTGCTTATGAAGAGAGAGTGTCAGAGATGGGCTTGCCAGCAAATCAGATCATACACATACATGTACATAAATTAAGAAAGAAACCTGAAAAAATATGTAATGAAACATAATGGCACTGCATGATACTGCATGATACAATTAAGCAATTCAAATCCTATCATGATTTGTGGATGTATAAAATACTGAGTGGGCTCAGCTGACCTCAATTTTGGATCAAGATGGCAAGAGGAAAAGAAAGTGACTTTGAAAGAGGGTTCATTATTGGGACATAGAGGGCAGGAGTTTCAGTCACAAAGACTGCTCAACTGCCTAGAGTTTTAAACCTCAGTTCCAAAATTTGGGACAGTATGTGGTACCTTATGAACTTTATTAAGAACTTTATTAAGGTTTTGTTTGTAAATTTATGCTCATTCCAGATTTGATGCCTATAACATGCTCTGAAGTTATCAAACAACATAATCCAGTTATCAAACACTTAATCTAATTATCATAAAGGACATGAGCATAATGAGCATAAAGGACATGTGTTTGGCCTTCTAACACGTCCTTTATGCTCAGAGATTTCTATGTTCTATGTAAATCTGTTGATGATATTATGTACCATTGTGAAAAATCCTTGCAATTCCTTGTTGAGGATGATTGTTGTTGTTGTTGTTTTTTGTCAAATTGACAAGTCTCAACCCATCCTTATAAAGGACGAGTCCTTTAGCTCCTTTTACACCCAAGCTTGATTTTATCACGTATTTAAGATGTTTTTTGAACATTTCACCAAATGTTCTAATCTTAAAGTGCCCCATTCCAACTTTTTAGAGCTTGTTGCAGGCATCAGTTTCAAAATGAGCACATATTTACCAAAAACAATGGAGCTGATAAGGAAAAACATTAAATATCTTTTGATTTTGACAAATCAAAGTTGAATTACAAATCACTGCCTTCTGTTTTTATTTGCATTTCACATACTATCTCAGCTGAGGAATAGAGCTTTGTAAAGCTATGAGAAAGATGTTCATAAATTTGGTTGGAAATTGTGGATGAAAGCATATATTCACTTGATGCTCATGCATCGGTTCGACATTTAAGGAAAACAGAGGAGCAAATGTTGTTCAGGTGACTGAAAATGTCCTATGATGAAACAGTTTATCCTGATGGGAGTGCTCTCTTGCAGGATGAAAAAACAGCATTCCACAGAGCATGAGGGATCACTGAATGGTCGCTGAAGATAATTTATGTTGTTTTTTTTTCTTTAATTTGTCACCCATCTGTCCATGATCATAGTTGATTCATTCAGGTTTCTTATCAGAAATGTGATCCTCATCATCCAACACTGACACTTACCCGTATTGACTTTAGAGATTCAATTTTGTTGTCTGTTTCAATGTCACTTTTTAGTTTCTATTGTTTCACTAAAATTCTTAAGTCAGATCTGCATTTTGTCATATTTTAGCAAACTACGTCCATAATGATAAATAAGTGAATGATTAAGAACAAAACAAATGCTGTTAAACTAACTATTAATAACTGTTAGTTTTAAAATGTAATTGACAGCTAAATAATAGACGACAACCAACAAACAAACACTCAACAGAATTTCAGTAACACGTCAAAAACATATGAGGGTTAGGATTAGGTTTTGGGTTGAGGTTGAGGTTAAGGGGTTAGGATTAGGGCCAATGTTAGTGCTAGGTTTTGAGTAAGGTTGGGTGAGGTTAGGTTTTAGATAATGGAAGTAACAATATTAACAAAACATATACTAAATGTAAGTAAAGTATCAACAGAACATCGATCTTCACTGATATGTTGTTGATGCATTATTGATAATTTGTTAAGAGTTTATTAATTTTCTACAAAGGACCACTCCAAATAGTGTTACCTACTTTTTTACAGCCATCCTGCATCCACTGATTTTCTTGAATAATTTCAAAAAATGTGCCAATGCTGACACACCTGTAGCCATGAAATAAGACCATGACTAAAAATGGATAAAAAGCAATAAA